ACACAAATGAGCAATTAGGCCCATTATTTCCAAACAACAACAAACCAGTAATGCTGAATAACATTCCTGAAATGGGTTCAGACAGCTTTGTGAAGACGACCCCAGCTGGAGCTCATCCATTCAGCTGATGCTGTTTTCTATTCGTCCCCCTGATGTTTTATTCACCTCACATGTTTATTAAGGCAGACAATAAACATCACAAGGAAATAAGAAACTAAACTAGTTAAATCATGTTGATAAAACACCTCTATACATGTTAAATGTAAATAGAGCTTCTGAGAGACATTGCAGGTAATCAACCTGAAATCAAATGCAGTTTGAAGAAACTTCTCCCTCTAGTGGACATACAGGTTATAACAGGCTGGGTTTATTGATAAAATGTTTGTTCAGAGAGTTCAACCTATTTTATTACTTTTCCACATATATTCCAGTTTCATAGCTCTATAATGGCTTATCTGGACCATAAAGCTCTGAACAAAACTATTCAATGAAAAACAGATGTGTTTGAACTTTTCAACTTTTTATTTTTTATCAATAAAAAATAATTTAATCACTCTGTGTGTATAACTAGTGTTAACCTAGTTTTATGTGTATTATACAGTTTGTCGTGTGTTATTAACTATTTAGTTAGATAGGTCCAGGCAAGCAGGGCACATGTTTCATTCATAGAGGAAGAGGGCGGTCTTTATCTGGGGAGGAGAGACGAGACAGAAGTCAGAAGGTTCAGTTATTTCACTGAGAGGATGAGGAGGAAAACATCTCAACAATGTTTACTTTGTAAGTTCTTTAACTTTCTGGCTTTTATTGGTTCTAAAAATTTAAATAAGAGAGAATAAATAAGTTAGACTAAAATTTCAACACATGAAGAGATTTTCTATTGAACAGAACTAAAAGTATTTTATTTCAGTAAAGAGTTTCTAGATTCAGCAAATGTGTGTAATAGAATATCTGATCCACACATGTTTCTAATTAAGAAATGTAGCTTTATAATAGCAGACAGATGTAGAAATAAACTAAAAATAAATATATTTGGGTATTTATCTGATCACATCAGTCACGTTCTATAATTTAACATTAAATAGCAGGAAGTTGAAACATTGCTGTTTCCTCAGTCTAACCTCAGTGTTTTTATTTTTGTAGTTTTCAGCTTCATGCTGTGTTTTATAACCAACCAAGGTCAGTGATGATTACTGCTCAAGTCTTTATTATCAGAATATATTTCATGTTTGATAGTCTGGATAAAATGTTTATTTAAAAATGTAATGACAATTAACTAATAATTTTGTGAAGAATCTGCAAAAAATAATGACTTCTGAACACTTTTCTAGTCCTCTCAGCTGCTCTGACTGTGAGTCCCAGCAGATCTCAGTTCTTTCTGTTTGACTCTGTGTCTCTGAGCTGTGAGGAGAACAACAGCTCTGCTGGATGGACTGTATGGAGGAACACAACCAGAGGAAGCAGGACTCAGTGTGGAGATGGATGGGGGGAACCAGCTGGTTCTACCTGTAACATCAGTTATGTTTTAGAAAGAGACAGTGGAGTTTACTGGTGTTGGTCCAGAGAGGGAGCAGCCAGCAGCAGCATCTATCTCTCTGTCACTGGTAAGATCAGACTGTGGAGTTAGTGTTGATGAAGCTGTGTGGAAATGGATGAAATGATGTAGTTTGTCTCTGTGTTGAGGTGGATCAGTGATCCTGCAGAGTCCTGTCCTCCCTGTGATGGAGGGAGATGACGTCACTCTGAGCTGTCTAACAAAGTACACTCCCTCCAACCTCACTGCTGCTTTCTATAAAGATGGCTCCCTCATCAGGACTGAGCCCAAAGGTCACATGACCCTCCACCATGTGACCAGCTCTGATGAAGGCCTCTACAGGTGTAACATCAGTGGTCATGGAGAGTCTCCATCCAGCTGGATCTCTGTTGAAGGTCAGCAGCTTCTCTCTCTGCTTCAACCTTCATATTGAGACAAGAACTAAATAATTACCTCCTGTTTATTTCAGAGAAACCAACCACTCCTCCTGTCTCCACTCCTCCACCTCCTGTCTCCACTCCTCCTCCTCCTGTCTCCACTCCTTCACCTCCTGTCTCCACTCCTTCACCTCCTGTCTCCACTCCTCCACCTCCTGTCTCCACTCCTCCTCCTACATCAATCTGTCCTACTGATTCCCAGTCTCTTCTCCGTACCCTCCTGTGCTTCACATC